GCTACTAAGGTCAGTCTCAAAAAACTGTTTTCTTAGTCTTTCTATTTTGTCATTAATTATGCACTTAATGATGAGTGTCTGTATATTAAATCAGTTTGACCTGTGAAGGACAGGAACAGGGAGTGGATGTCACTTATTCTGCTATTAAACATCTGCCCTAAAAAAAAAAAAACAGCTGGCAAAGTACAGAGCACAACTTTTTACTTATTTTTGCAATTGCCTTTTACTCCCTTCTACCCGGGTCATTTTTTTCCAGGAGTTTTGTGCTCCTGTTGTGGGTTTGAAGCAGTGCCAGGGAGAGGGCTCTCTACAGGACTCTGACACTGCGTGCTTGTGCCTGCGTGCTTGTGCCTTAAATAGTTGAATGCAGCTCAATGTGGTGGTAAGAAAATGAGCAGTTAATGTTGTTCAAGTGTTAATTGTGCCAGAAATTAAGAGTGTATTTTCAGAGCCTCAACCCCGCAGTACTAAGAGCGTTTAGTTAATTTGTTTGTGTGATTTCTGTGAATGGGTAGCAGCCGGTGATCACACATTTGCCTTGGTTTTATTTTGGTCCAAAGAAATGGAAGAAAATCAGGGTATGTGGAAAGTCTTGTTTGTAACTCCCCTCAGACCTGGCAAGTAGTTCTTGATTTCCTTCAGGCCTCTGGCACTGTTGGAGCCAATGGCACTGGCCTGCAAACGGTGTAGGAAATCAAGGTGAAATACCCTTGTTCTGCCCAATGCAGCAATAGCAGGAGCAGAAGATCTCACTGTAAGAGAAATAACTATGTATTTCTATATAGATAGAAATAACTATGCCTTTTCTGTAGATCCCTGTAGGAAGGTAAGGTGCCTCCTGTGCTCTAGACAGTATTTAAATTCTATGGACTGGCATAGGCATTGCAGAGATATTGAATTGTCTATAATTGAGCAAAATGTTAAAAATTCTTCCAATACTTTACGAAGACAGTTTTGCAGCGATATGTTGCATAACTGAAGGGATAATCAGACCCTAATTAGACCCTTCCTTTTAATATTGCTCAATGAGCTAAATCCTCCAAGCTTCCCCTGCAACCTGTTCAAATAACATAATGTCCCAATATAAGCTGAGTAATTATTGAAATGCAAAAGCATTAAGTCTTAAATCAGCAGGAGGGAAAATACATGGGATACATACAATGGAAAGCACCATGTACGAGGTCATCAGAACACATATCGTGTCTAGAATCGTAAGAGAGCTGGATATGGCACTGACCGGTAATAACACATACGAGCTATTCAGGATAAGGGTGATCAATGCTTTAGGTCACTCCGCTCAGCTTGTCGTGAATATATTATCTTCTGCAGAAGCTTTAAAATACTTTACTCTTCCTGCTTTACAATATCACACTGTTGTTCAAGTGCATTACAAAAGCTTTGCTCATTTGGAAACATAAATTACTACCTTCTATGCTGCCAGAGGTACAGAATACCATCAGCCAGAAGAATCTGTGTGAAGCCATACATTTGGAGATCTGTCATGTTGCTTTCTAGCTTTTGCCAGGGACATTTAATATTTTTCTGAATACCTTGCTTAACTGTGGCCAGCCACAGGCTGGGACAGGGAGAGCAATTGCTGTGTGGGTTTCTCCAGTTGCTGGGTCTGGTGCCTTTTACTCTTGCTGGCTCTTACCCTTGCAAAACCAGGTGCTTGCACTGAAATGCTCCCTAGAGACCTGACAGCCACATGGTGAAAACATTTGCCTTTAACCTTAACCTGTTATAAGGTAGAAAGGAGCTTGAATCAAAGCCCAGGTAAAAACAGCTGTTCTGGGAGCCGCAGCTGGCTCCGGATGCGTGCCTCCCCACACAGCAAAGTGCAGATCTATATGTCTAGCCAATGCATTTGCAGTCTTACCCTGAAATCGTTCTTCCATTGAGCCTGCAGTTTCCCAGCCAAATGAATGAGACTTTTGAATGCAAAGAGGTTTGCAGTCCCAGCACCAGAGGACAGCCATTTGGCAAGTGTCTTGGTCTGGAAGGGGCCAGAATGAACTCTGGGCAAGCAAAAACAAAGCGCGCGTGCATACCTTTGCATTCCTGTCTCGTGTCTCTGAACAGAGATCTCTCGGCTGTCAAAACCATACTGTTTTGCTGGCAAGTTCTCACTTCTCCCTCAGTGATATTTTATTGGGCCTGTCTTCTCCTACCCCTTCAGGGAAGAGGCCCCACAGAGCCCGCAAGCCCCAGGGCTGGGGAAGGGTCTGTGCCACACCATGCTGGAAGAAGGGTCTGTGCCACAAATGCGGAAGGCTTTTGGATGAGGGCCCCCAAGGCCTCTCACAGGAGGTTGTTAGCTATAGAAGCTCACACTGAGCATTTACAATTAGTAAGTGCATTGCATTTATTTATTCTGACTGCAAGGGCCTTTGTCCAAAGGGACGCAGCCTCTTCAGCAGCATTATTATGCATGGTAATTAATTCACATTAAAATATCCAGCAAGTTCTGGGGTTGGGCTTTTTAAATAGTGCTTAGATATTTTTAACTCATTAAGACTGTACGTCTTTGGGATCTTAGAAATCATAGAAGTATTAAAATATTTATTTTTTTTTTTCCAAGTCTTACTAAAGCTTGTTTCTCTGAGCCATAGGACAGGACTCTGCGAACATCCACTGAGGTGCTTCATTTGACTTTCCTAAGTTGTCTATTCATGTCATAAGGGAATATTCTCCTTAATTCTCCTTATTCTCCTTCACCTGCTTAAAGAAGGGATCTCTGTTTTACAGGATTTTGGCGAAATATATAAAGATGTATATTCTGTAATGTTTCTCCCTGGAGTTTTTATTCAATACATAAAGCTGTGTCAGGCATATTTCAGTGTTACGGGTATTTAATTTTGCTCTGTGAAACTAGTCCAAGGCTGCTGCTGACAAGGTCTCTCAAATAGTTCAAGGGGCTTGGTATGTCACAAGTGTTTGTTTTTTTTGTTCTTAAAAATTTTTGTAAAATTAAAATTTATTTGTATTTTGTAAAACTTGTCTGCATATTATCTAGTGTATATCAGAGGGAAAGCTTTATATATATATAGATATACACACACAAAAAAAATGTTCACATACTGAAGTAAATTAATAAAGCTTCCTTTTCATATGAAAGAGGTAAAGAAAAGTACCTGGCCAATACAGTACCATTAATCTATTCTCTTTTCTCCTTTCTCTCTTTACTTCTCTCTCTACAATAGAAGTGGAACAAAAAGGTAATTAAATACCTTTCAAATTATATATATATATTACTTATGTATAGGCTAAGTTATTTAACAGTTTAACGTTTTAGTTGAAATACTTTGTCATTAATTCTCACTCCTTTTTTGTTAAAGTTTATTTAGTATCTCTGCTGCTCAACTTCACCAGATAACTCATTTTTGCTGAAAAGGTTTTACCAGTGCCTCTTTTTTTCATTAAATTTCTATTCAAAGGTTTAGATAACTCACTCTTCTCCTGCCCCAAAGAATTTGAAAAGTGTGCGTGCATACATATGTGCATAAGTATATCTAATTATACCATAAAAGCCTCTTGGAAATGGCACCCCTTTATCAGCAGCTCTGGGTGGTTACTTAGACTCCAACAGAGCAACATACTTTTACACCAGTTACTAAATCTGATTTTCCTCCTGTCTTGCTCTCCAGAGGATATTACCAATTTCTGCATTTCCAAAAATAATTGGTTATGCTCCAAGCAGGGAGCATGAATGCAAGATCCCATCTGCCAGACCCCACGCTACCAGAAGCATGTGGTGGGATACCTCTTCATGCCTCCCTGCTGCCCATCCCATCATCATGCTACTCCTCAGGCTCACAAAGATCAGCGTTACAAATAACCAACAAATATTCTCCCCCCAAAGTGTGTGCAGCACCTCCAGGTCAGGAGAGTGCTACTGGGGATGATGAAAGCCAAACGAGCCAATTTTGCTCCGCAGCATCCCTCCTTTTGTCTCCACGTCCAGCTGGCCGGCCTCTTGGTGTTGGCGTTCCCGTGATGCCAAGGTCAGCCAGGCGCCAGCCGAGCCTCCTCCTGGGAGCTGGGCATGCCCTGGCCCCTCTCAGCCCCCCTGAAGTATGAGCAGCAAAGCACCCCGGTTAGTCAAACCGCTCCTCTGTGCTCCTCTCATGTAACAATAGAAGGTATATGTTTTTAAGTTTGAATTACTACTATATTTAACAGGACATTTTTTAACTGATTAAAATCTAGACCTTGGGTTCTCTCCAGTGAACTTTATTCTTTTCCTTCCTTCTTTCCTTTCTTCCTTCCTTCCTTCCTTGTCTTTTCCTTCCAGCATCCATACGTCATTCGTTTTTAATTGTGTGGACTGCATGTTTCATGTGTCCTGTAGCAGCTTTGAAAGCCTCATTTCTAGTTATGCTACGGATCTTAGATGGGTGTTCCCCCCTGCTCCCTTTGCTTTAAATGCTCTTCTGAGTTGCTAAAGGGATTTGCCTCTGCTTTGGTATTGGTACCTTTTAAATATTTAATATCACTTGGGCTGTAAGGGTGGGAATTTCTTTCTCTTATTTCCATTTCTAGGCCACTCTTCTGTGGGCTGTTCAAATAAATATGTGGATCAATTCCCCGGGAGTTTACCCCTTCACCTAGTAGGTACAGATTCACTGCAGAATATAATCTGGAAATACAAACCCAGAAATCCTCTGGGGGCACATATTCATTTCAGTTTACAAAGGCGAATGGTCCAAGTAAGTACACCTGTAAAAATAGATTTGAAAAGCAATAAGAAAATGAGCCACAGTTGATAGAAAAAGCAGGGGGAAAAAAAAAATCAGTCTGGTGGAGCAAATTTTGTTCTAGAGACATGGCTGGCAGGAAGACTAGTCTCCAGCTGCAAGGCATTGCTCTTGGGTTTCCTCTGATCTCGAGTGTCCTCTGCTCCAGAACTAGAAGCTGTTGAGATCTTTGGGCTAACCACTCCTGGACTGTCATTAACTTTGGTTTTTTTTGTTGTTTTAAATTCTTTTCCCCTCTGACAGTTTTTCTTTGCCCTGGACTGCTGAAAGGAGTATACCAGAGTGAACACTTATTTGAATCTGACCACCAATCTGGTGCCTGGTGCAAGGACCCTCTGCAGGCATCTGACAAGATCTACTACATGCCCTGGACGCCGTACCGGACGGACACACTGACAGAGTACTCCTCCAAGGATGACTTCATTGCTGGGAGGCCAACCACGACCTACAAGCTCCCACACCGGGTGGATGGCACGGGGTTTGTGGTATATGATGGGGCTTTGTTCTTCAACAAGGAACGAACCAGGAACATAGTCAAGTTTGACTTGCGGACGAGGATAAAAAGCGGGGAGGCTATCATAGCTAATGCAAATTACCATGACACCTCTCCCTACCGCTGGGGAGGCAAGTCTGATATAGACCTGGCTGTGGATGAGAACGGGCTGTGGGTAATCTATGCAACAGAACAAAATAATGGCAAAATAGTCATTAGCCAGTTAAACCCTTACACGTTAAGGATTGAAGGGACATGGGATACTGCCTATGACAAGAGGTCAGCTTCTAACGCCTTCATGATCTGTGGAATTTTATATGTGGTGAAGTCTGTGTATGAAGATGATGACAATGAAGCCACAGGGAATAAAATAGATTACATATATAACACTGACCAAAGCAAGGATAGCATGGTGGATGTGCCCTTTCCAAACTCCTACCAGTACATTGCTGCTGTGGATTATAATCCCCGGGACAACCTCCTTTACGTATGGAACAACTATCACGTTGTGAAATATTCCTTGGATTTTGGCCCACTGGACAGCAGAGCAGGTAAGGGTTTTAATACCCTGACAAAATCTGAACTGGGCTTTCTATTTTTCTTGTAAATACACTCTATTTGGATGTAAAACTGAAGTACACTCCTGTCTTACTGATCTGCCTGTGTTTCTGTAAATTAATCCCCACCACAAGACCTATGATGGATATTAAGACACTAATACGTGCAGAATATACTGCTTTTAATCTTAGTTTGAAATGACATGGAGAGTGTGCTACACATAACTAACTTGAAACAGTCTCCAAATGTCCATGCTCTTGTTCACATCACAGGGATAGCACTCTTTTCTCCTTAATTGAATTTTCTTCTGTATATCAGATCATCTTCCCTACTGGAGGAATTTTGGCAAAACAAAGTGTGGAAGATGCTGTCGCTGCAAACAGCCAGGGGGGAAACTGCCAGCCAGTTTAAATTACTTCGTTCCATTAAGCTGGGGGAGATTGGGCTGCTTAGGGAAGCCGCTGCTAATTGTATAAGTGAGCATGCACCCACAAGTGTGTGTCTAGAGTCAGCAGGGGAATTGACAACAAAATCCTCAAAATTGTTGGTTTCTTTTCTTTAAAGTTGCTCATTTTTTTTTAAAAGCATTTCATGACTTACTATGACTTACTATGCTTTCTCTAAGAGAGGAGCATCTGGCCCCCAGAGGATTTCCAGCTTTTCCACTTTTTTTCCTCTTAGAAATTAAGCCAGTAGTTACTTAGTTGGGTTATATTCACTTACCTTTACCAACTTCTTCACTGTTTGGCAAGTATTATGTTCACAGTTGCCACTTTATTAATAACATGACTTTTAGCCTAGATTGTGGTCAAACTCATATGACACTGCAAGAATTTCCGAACAGTGTTTGTTTCCTGCTGTACATGATGTAGTCATGGTTATCAGGTAGTTCCTGTGGTGGACTGTGTACTTCAGAAAAGCTGAAAAAGAGGAAAGGTATAAATAATATAAGTTGGCCAGGAAACTATTTGATTTGTTACATGGCTATTCCCAAAACGTTCTTTTTTGTTAATTAGAAACTCAGAAGTGCATGAGTGGATTCAGAACTTCAGCTTGCAAAGGAGAAGTTGAGAGGTTTCTGTTACTGAGCTTTTCTTTTTCTTTTCCTGTATGCAGCCTGTTATCAGTACAAAAATGGATCAAGAGATGCTGAAAGAAATTGTGGATATGAAAATCTGCGGGGGGGGGGGGGAATAAAAGTAGTAAAATGGCAGTCAATTTTTTGTTTTTATACAAAAATGTAAGGAAGAGGAGAAGGAAATCTTGAAAAGGCAAATGAACAAAACCGACTGTTAAGAGAGGAGCAGGGACATTTTCAATGATGTTGACCTCTGCAAGATCTCAGATGAGCAAAAAATGAAGTAATACTTCTCATTCTTCAACTTAATGATGAGCATGTACTGTCGGAGTGGTGGAGTGAAGCAGAGCAATTTGTGAGCTATTGGTTATCCCTGAGGAGTGAAAATCAATTGCATACCTTCTATTTCACAGAGTTTTTCTCATTTTCAGTGAATTATTTCCAGGTGTTACAGCAGACTCTCTGCTGCCGCTTTTTCAAGTGGTGACCGTTGTCAGTAATAGCATCTTTAATAAAAAAAAGAAAAAGCTATAATTGGTGAAAACCCCAGATTTTATACTTTCCTCTAAAAAGGGAAATGATTCTCCTCTTTTTCCCAGCTGGTGAGGTGGGAGAGCAAGAGAAAACCTTGCAAAGGGCTGAAAGTCTGTGAGGTGCAAAGATTTGATTTGTTCATGTGTCACTGTGGTTTGAAGCCCCTTTAATTTCACTCATGTTTGGATGAGAATTTAAAATCCCCCAGTACCTCAGATGGAAAGCTGAAGTAGTTTTTGGCTTTGGGTGGTGGACACAGAAGGGTTAAGTTGTTGTCAAGGAATCTGGTGAGCCTTCTCTGACATTCCTTTTGTGCAAATTTTGGTAGCTTTGTAATGTGGGCAAAAAGCTGAATTTTGTATGCGTTCCTCTTCTCTGAAAATTGTCGGGATTTCCGTTTTGGCAGCAGTGCGTAAGGATCCCATTACCTCACTATTTTACGGGTTTAGAGGACTTCTGAGAGGACTGCTTTGACAGCAAGTGAATTTCTTGATGAGACAGCTTGAATGGGCCAAGGCATTTCAAAGCGAAGAAAAATACCTTTGCAAAGGGAGTTTACTGCTCCATTACCTGCACAGCCTGATTAGTGGGAACATTATTTTATGAGTCAGTCAAACAGAAGCACCAATTTTGAATTGAATAGGTGAGCAAACACTTGCTTGACACCAGTTTTTTTTGTAGGGAGGAGCCAGGAGACGAGGTCTGCGTGACTGACTCTCTTCCAAGTTCAGTGCAACACATTTTCTGGTTAGCACCAAATTTCATGCTGCATTGCTTTATGTATAATACTAATTATATGACTGGCTTAAACTCAGCTCCTCCAGCAATAAGCAGAACAGGAGCCGATGCAACACTAGGAAAGCAGTGAAGACTCAGGATATTTTCATTTGGTTATTTAGTTATTTCATTTTTTTACAGAGTGAATTGTGGCTATGTGTTTCCCCTCTTCCAAAATCACCACTGTTTCTCTGTTTAGAGCAAGGCAATGTTCAATGCAGCCATTTTCCATAGGGTTACAGTTTGAGTAGCAAAATATGTAAACAATATCTGCTTAATTAGAAAATTAAAAAAAGATTGTAAAATTGATGAGTTGAACAAATTGGTTGTTAAAAAACAATTAAAAGTGAAGTTTTAGGAGAAGAGCTCTTAAAACCAAAAATTGATCGTAACAAGTGATATATTTAGCTACTTAAATAGCCAGTAGCATATTTGAAACATATTTGAAATCTCTGTTATCATATATTTCAAGAATATCTGAAATAAAAGAAAACAGGTGCTGGGGGTCCAGTTTATTTAGAATCAAACACTTCCTTTTTTTTCCCAATCATCCAGGGAAAATGAGAGGAGGCAGGAGTTGCTTAGCTTATAGGAAAGGCAGGGATCACATCCTCTCGCTCTTCACAACGATGAAACACTTTCTGTGAGTTTTAATTAAAGATTTGTTTGTGCATGTAGGTTTGGAACTACTGCAGAGCTTCTCTCACCCACTGTTTAAAAAAATGGGCTTTTACTCCTTGGAGCAAATGAGTGCCAGGAATTTCTCTGCTCAGCTTCTGTACCAGCCGAAGGTACCAGGGAAGACAAAATATTCTGAAGTCTTAAGTGAGGCACAAAGATGGATTCAACTGATCTATAAGCAATTCAGGGCTCCTGATTGAATTAAAACCAATTGTTCATTTTTCTCAGAAATGGGAAAAGCTGCATTTTAAGGATTTGCCCCGCTCAATTATTTTTTTCCTTTTGTCTTGGTGGTGTTTACATTTATCCCAAAAGTGGTTTTGAAAGCAAACACTCCTCAGTGCCTGCAAATCCCAGGAAACCTGTCATTAATGTCTACCTTCAAGAACTGAATTTGAAGATACCAAAAGCCTTTGAAGCATATTTTCTTTGAGCTTTTTGGCCTTAAAATGAGTTTTTGGAGGATGCTTCTCCATAAATGTTCCTGAGTTTCTGGGTTATTTCTTTGTAGCTGCTTTTGACTTTGCTAATTTGAAGTGATAGTCAGAATAGCTCTACAACTCTGGTAGTTTTTTCCATGGCATTCTTCAAGAAGCTGAATCCAGCAAAGTGTTCAGGTTGGGTTTTTTTTAATGTGTCCCGCTAGACATGTGCAGAGAGAGAAATGAAAGACTCTATCAACGGAATAAAAAATCTTCCGCAACCTAATCAGTCTTAATATTCACCAGAGTTACCTGTTTTAATCATCATCCACTTGTGATACAGTCTGCGTAAACAAATTCAAGAAAATATCAACAAATCCTCCTCTCCAAAAAGGTAAAGTGCTTCCATCCTGCTTCCTGGCGCAGCGCTGCATACAAACACGCATCTCCCAGCTTTGCATCTCTGCACCTCCCCAGGCGGTCATGACTCCTGGCTGGGTACCAAGTAGGGGTTCCTGGGCAGCAGAGAGACCAGAAGAAGAAAGTTTTGTCATTTAAATGCCTGAGGTGCCCCATGCCAGTGCCAGCAGCCCTCACACGGGGGCTCAGGATGTGCTGGCTGACCGTTTAGACCAGGGGTAGGGACCACAGCCTGTCCTGTAGCTCGGCAGTGAAGCAGTCCAGGGAAGGACTTGAACAAGCATAAGGATCCTTCAGCGCATGTCTGGGACTTGGGTGTCCTGGCAGCCATTCCCAGTGATATGGGAAATACAGACCTCCTGCTTTTCAGGTGTTTTAAGTTATGTCCAGGAGACCCAGGCATTACAATATGGGGTGTTTAATAAATGTATGAAGTTAATAAATAAATATGCCCAATATACATAAGGAGGACAGTACTATGATACAGGACTTCTAATACAGCCTCGTTGTGCTTAAGTGGCTTCCACAGATTGCATATTAACATTGTGGACTGCCAGTCTGGTAATCAGATGTGATATGAAGTTTCCATCCATATCTGTGATATTATAAAAACCTCAAGTGATGCCTATCAAACTTTTATCTTCCACATTTTGTTAAAAATTGTGGGATGCTGTCTTGACATGTGATTGCAACCATTTTATTCAGTAAGAGTTGTTTTTTTTTTGTTGTGTGGTGGGGTTTTTTTTCCTAAAGCATTTTTACAATGCAGATAAGGTGAACCCTCTGTCCTTATAATATGCTAATTAAGTGCATTTGTGTCTTGGGTAAAAGACGTGGCAGTATGGTGATGAATAAGAACTTTAAACACATATGACACCTCGTTAAAATGTAATTTTCACATCATAAATCTGAGGCCTTTCGTTTGACAGCTGAGTAATGTGGATAGTGGGCAGAGGATCTTGAACATTTCAAAGCTGTCACGTGCTAATAGGTAGCTGAAAGCAGCTTCCTGCGCTGCTTGCCTTTAACACCCTACATCCTTCCCTGGGAGGTGCATCAAAAGGGCTGCCGAATCTTGAGT